GGGAGACTTGGAAACAAAAATCCCAGTTGTAGCTACTACTCACAACTTCTTACAAAATAGTTACTTACAAAAGTTCATCTTCCACACCTTTGCTGCCACAGAGGCATCCTTCTATGATTGTTTTAAATTGTGACCATGTTTAAGCCTCACAGGTAGTTCTCAATAAATTAAGTCAAATAGAAAGTCATGACTTGGCCTGAATCTGGCCTCCATTCAACTATTACATGTAGATTTAATTGACCAAGGTTACCTCTTCCTTATGTATTCCTCTGTCCTCTACCTGGGACAGCTAATGATTTCACCCTAAGATCATTAATAGTTGGCCCTGTGGTTCACATCTGTAATCCTAGCTACAGATCTCAGGAGGCTGAGATCTGAGGATCACAGTTCAAATCCAGACCAGGCAAGACTTTTATCTCCAATTAACCACTAGAAAACCAGAAGTGGCACTGTGGCTCAAATGGTAGAGTTCTACCCTGGAGCTAAAGAGCTGAGGGACAGTGCTCAGGCCCAGAGTTCAAACCCCATGACCAACAGAAAAAAAATCATTAATACCTTTGACAGTGTTGAAATGCTATTATTCTTCTCCATTACTATACAAGATTACTGAGTCCTCCCACTCTCCATAGTGAGGAAAAGGGACATCTGTTTGTACAGTCCTAAATCCCAGCCCAAGTTCTATCACCAGAAGGTATTCCATTCATATCTGTTAAATAAAACATTTGTTTTTCTTTGGTATCTGTTCTTCACTGGTTGTGATATATTTGTATGTGCAATGGGAAGATGACGTCATGAAAGCTGTGTTGACAATTCAGTGTTTTAAGCCCTGTTAATAGTCTGTCCATTTGCTCTATTCTGTATCGCTTTCTTACCCTTAGACTTTTGGCTACAGTTTGAAATGGTTAGCTAAAGCTAATAGGGAAACTAAAAGGTAATCACCAACATTGTCTTTATCTAATATGGTCTTCCTTGAACAAGTATGTTGCATTTCAGGAAGGCAATTTTTGTTCAATTTACTATTTGTTTTTTACATTTATGTTGTGAAAAATCTGGAATTCTTTACTACATCTGGAAAAAAGTGCCTTTTAAGTATAAAACTAGTGGTTAACCCAGACAACTACTATCATCACCCAATAGAGATTTAATTTGAGCCACAACATTAGCCACATATATAATTTTTAAAAATGTGTAGTCACCTTTAAAAATGTGAGAAGAAACAAATGAAATTATTTTTAAAAATTCATTATGTTCCACCCATTTCAATACATCTAAACTATAAAATGTATTAATGTAATCCTTTGGACACATTTTTGCATAAAGTCTTAGGAATTTACTGTGTATTTTATTCCTACAACTTATCTCAGTTGGGATTTAAGTGGCACATCATGATCTTGGTTCTAGTTAACTTGCATTTTCTGAGTCTTCTAAATGCTGTGGGCCTTACCTGAATTCTTTTCATCAGTCTTCACAAATCTACAGTTTATACCCCCCAATTCATTGTATATGTGAGCACACTGACATTAAAAAGCTGGTCATTCATCTGAGAATTGCTATTGGCTCTCGTGGTCTCTGGATCTGGTAATAGGATTTTGACTTCAACATAATCCACAGATCTGAAACAAGAGTGGTGGGAAAAGACCATGTGACAAAGTCTGCGGTATTTTGAAAGGTGATGTTGACGATTATACCCACAGACAGAGGCAAACGTAACCGCAGATCAAAAGGCAACAGCAAAAATATTTGAAAGAAGGAAACAATCCAAATGAAAACCTGGGGGAAAGGAGTAAGATTAGTTTACCAACCACCCTTGTACCTGTCCTAGTGTTCATTTACTCCCTGCCAGGGTCCTTGTGTGACAGCCACTGCATTGCCACATACTTAGAACTGAATGGCTTCTCTTCCTTTTATCTGCTACACGGAATTTGGGTAAAAGTATATACTATACTGACTGGGATGAATTAAAGCCAAAGTCTCTGAGCAACTCTGATGCCATGGCTTTGTTACAAAGGTCTGTAAAATATTACCCTGGTGTCATGGATTATACAATGTGCACAAATGGCAGTTTCCTCCTTCTGCTTCACACAATATTAAAAAGGAGTAAAATATGTTTCCCATTGCAATTCCCTTGTGCTTGGGGACTCAATGAACTCACTTTAAGTTTCCATGTCTTTATAAAACTGTTTTGTTTTTCACTGAAACATGGTTTTGATCAAGAACATAATTTTGTGATTGCGTGTGTGTTTCTGAAACAAATATGTACGTGGGATCTTACATGGAGGAAGGCTTAAGTTCCGGTGGCCGATCCCAAGACAGGAGATTCTTGAGTTCTAACTTCAGCCAACCACACCATCAGACATGCTCATGAGAAAAAAATATCAGCTTCTGTCTTTACTAACCAATCTCTTGCACTCTTTCTGTCTCTTCTTTCTGGATTCAAAGAACTGGAACTACAAATGAATCATACCAAATTTAAATTTCTATTTAGATTTCTTGTCATTTCTGGTAAGCTATCTAGGAAATTAAATGTTAAATTCATAGAATATTTAACTTCAAAGAGCTATGCAACCAATTTTTTTCTATGTACTGGAATGAGAAGCTCATCATTAAATATATTATATGAATAATAAGATATATTATCCTGTTTATACAATAGAGATTTTGTGAGGCAGGTAGAAAATATAATTCCTTTAATTCAGTTAATACTGGCACTAATCACAGAACAGTTTGTCATTCAAAACACTTATTAGATCCTTTACGAACTGCTTTATACATGTCTCATTTAATTATGATTGGAGGTTGATGTTTTTAAGTACAGACTTAATCCAGAGATGCAATTCTAGTGGATCACAACCAAGACTGACTACGGTTCCTTGCCCAGAAATCAATCAGAAATTAATGCTAGTGAGGCAAGAAAGGAATTGAATCGATGTGGCCACATTGTGAAGATAGGTATCAAGTACATTGGCCTGTCTTTGGAGTGTCAGCATGAGCTTTAAGTTTAAACATAAGAATAATTTGGGTTGAAGGTAAGAGGAATGGGTAAGTAAGCAGTGTTGATCAAATTGTGATCTGATGGGTCGCCATCTCAGACTCTGCTCTGTGGTCACTCTAGACAAGTCTTTATCCCTGGAGGAGACAATCCAGTTTCTGTGAGATGATTTCTCTTGTGTGGGAGACAGAGAGGACAGCCTCAGTTTCCCTCATGGAGTAATTTCTCCCTTTTAGAGACGGATGTCATCATGAGGTGATCTGGTCTGGGAGGTGCTCTGTTCCTGGAATCCCAGGTGACTGCAGGTTTTAAGCAATGACTGGAGACTACAAGCACCATTTTGGGAAGAGGTCTGGAAAAGCTGTAAAAAGCTGACAGCAAAATATCTCTGCTACCCTTATCTCTGTGCCTTCAGCCTTGAGTATATTGAGGCCTAATCAGCCTGTATCGCCAGTTTTTTAGACAGGCACTCCTTAAGTGATTAACATGCCTAAGTGTAGAACGGAGCAAGAATCAGATCCAAACTAAAGGAGACAGATATAAGGTGAAGGGAGAGAGAGATCCCAGATTTTTTCTTCTTTTTGTTACTTTGTGGATTCCAGTGAGGAGATAATTTTCTTTTTAACGGTTTCTTAACTACATGTTATAATATTATCTGTTGAATGAATGAGTATATTAGATATTCCAGAGCTACAAAGTTAATCAGTGGTAGAGGCAGTGTTAAATCAAGATAATATAAAACCATTGGCTTGTGACCAGCAGTTTATATAGGCTTTAGATGTACTTTGCTGAATTCATAGAAATAATTCTTGGTAGTATGCAGAACACTCAACATTGTATGGGGGAAGGGGTTAAAATCCTATTACAATTGCCACATATTTTTGCTACTTCAGTGAAGAAAAAAATAAATTAGTAGAAATAGCTAATCTGTGCTGTAACCTTTTTTTTTTTCTTTAAAAATTACTCCGGTTGAGCCAGGTGCCCACGGCTTACATTTGTAATCCTAACTACTCCGCAGGTTGAGATCTGAGGATCCTAGTTTGAAGCCAGCTCAGGTACAAGAGTCTGTGAGACAGTCCTCTCCAGTTAACTACTGAAAAGCTGGAAGTGGAGCTCTGGCTTAAGTGGTAGAGCACCAATCTTGAGTTTTTCTGTTTAATTTAGCATAATGTTTTCAAGGTTTATCTACATAGTAACACATTGTAGGAGTCTTTTATACATATTCCACAATTTATTTATCTATTCATCCACTGAGGGAGGGTCATTTGAACTATTTCTGACTTTTGGCTATTGTGACTATACTTATCTGAGTGTGTATTTCCTATTTGAAGGGAATTCCTGGGTTGTAGACTAATTCTATGTTTACATCTTTTAGGCACTACAAAACTTTTTTCCCCACTATCGGAACCATTTTTTGTTTCTCCACCAGTAATGAGAGGGAGTTCCAACTTCTCCAAATCCTTAGAAACTTTGCTGGGTTTTGTTTTTTGCCCTCTTTCTTGCTTGTCTGTTGTCTCCATACTAACACCATTTTTATAACCTTTTGTATGTCTTTCATGGAGATATATGTATTCAGGGTTTTTACTCCTATTTTGCTGTGGAAATATAATTGCTATTTGTATTCTCTATTTTGAATGTTAAACTTTTCAACAACCTACTTAGCAAATATTTATTTCATTCTGTACATTAGCTTTTCACTTTCTTAATAATGTCCTTTGATACAGAAAAGCTTTGGTAAATTCTAGTTTTTCTATTTTATACATGCATTTATATGTCATATTTATATATTTTTATCACACTATATGTGGCACGTATGTTATTGTCCATGCGTTTGGTGTCATATCTAAGAAGCTATAATCAAATCTGAGACCATGGCAATTTATCCTTCTAATAATTTTATGATTTTTAGTTCATATTTAGGGCACTGGCTTAAGTTAATTTTTTTAATGTGATATGGAATAGAGATCCTGTTTTCTTCTCTTCACTTAGTCTTTCTTTTGTTCCTTCTTAGGAACCCTTGAAAACAAGGGACTGCATATTTTTAATCTGACTTCTCTAACCAAGTCTGAAAACATTTTGTCTGCCACACTGTACTTCTATATTGGAGAGCTTGCCAACATCAGCCTGAAAATTTGTCCATTGTCCGAAGGATGCTCTGATCATGCTCGGAGGAAACACATTCAGCTAGATCTCACTGCATGGATCCTCAAACCCAACCCAAACCAAAATCATCTACTGGGTCATTTGTCAGTCGATGTAGCTAAGCCTCATCGAGAAAGCATGTCCTGGCTTTCTAAAGACATCACTCAGCTCTTGAGAAAAGCCAAAGGAAATGAAGAGTTTCTCATAGGATTCAACATTTCCTCCAAAGCCCATGAGCTGCCAAAGACGATGTTACCTTTTCAGAAGCCTTATATCTTGGTATATGCCAACGATGCTGCTATTTCTGAGCCAGAAAGTGTGGTCTCAAGCTTGCAGGGACATCGTAATTTCCCCACAGGAGTTGTACCCAAACTAGATAGCCACATCAGAGCTGCCCTTTCTGTGGAACGAAGGAAGAAACGCTCTGCTGGGATCTTGTTACCTCTGCAGAACAATGAGCTTCCTGGGGCAGAGTATCAGTACAAGGAGGATGGAGTGTGGGAGGAGAGAAAGCCCTATAAGACCCTTCAGACTCAGTCCCCAGAGAAGAGTAAGAACAAAAAGAAACAGAGGAAAGGACCTCACCAGAAGAGCCAGACACTCCAGTTCGATGAACAGACTCTCAAGAAGGCAAGAAGAAAGCAATGGATTGAACCTCGAAATTGTGCCAGGAGATACCTTAAAGTAGACTTTGCAGACATTGGCTGGAGTGAATGGATCATCTCACCCAAGTCTTTTGATGCTTATTATTGCTCTGGAGCCTGCCAGTTTCCTATGCCAAAGGTAATTATTGCTCTGGGTCCTGTACTTCCTTCCTATTTCCATTGAGTAAAAGGCACACTGAGTAAGTTAAAGTGTGTGTGTGTGTGTGTGTGTGTGTGTGTGTGTGTGTGTGTATGTGTGTGTGTGTGTGTGTGTGTGTGTGTGTCTATGCATGCACCATCTGTCCCCTTATATATTACATTCTCAAGTGTAGCAAGTCCTATAGCTATGCTTGAGTATTTTTTTTTAACAATTGTTAAAGTAAGATGAGGTCGGCACTGGCATGAAGGATATAAAAATGTTAGGGATAAAAGAAGTATTTTGCATGGCTTCCAAACATGAAAAAATAGCATGTTTAGCTGTGTGGTCACATGTGAATCAATATCTGTCCATACTGTAAGCTAGTCCCAAATGGAAGAAGGCTGATATTTCAAGAACATTCAGAGAAGAGGTGAATATTGTGGAAACAAAGGAAGTAAGTTGGAGATTTATGCCACCAAATGAAGTCCAGGAATTACCCATCTATGCCCCAAATCAGTATGAACTGTATTGTACTATATCTGTACTCAGCAAACTGGCAAATGTATTTTACAAGTCTCTCTAACTCTCAATTGACAGTTCTCTTGGAACTTAGAATGTAGATATACTCTAGTAAATAGTAAAATGCAGTCATACGTACTCTCCAACATTTGGCTAAACTTGTTGCTGTGCCTCTATTCTCAGCTTGAAACGGTTTAACTCACTGTTATACAATGAAAATTCAGAGGAAAAAAAGAGGTTTTTACTTGTATCAATTTTACCTATTGTCTGGTAGTAGCAAACAAAAGATCATTTGTCTCCAAATTTCTTCTCCTAGGTCTTTATAACAGTGTTTTTACATTCTTGTTCTATAAGCATTGGGTAACGGATATGTAAAAAATAAAGGGTGAGTGCACAAGGCCTGTTCATTCTCAGGGCAAGAAACTTGACTGAAATTCCATTTTTCTTGGTAGAATGTGTCAGAAAAATGAGCGTCTTTCATTTTCTAGGATTTGTCTATCCCCAAAATTTTTGATGATTTTGTGTTTGTAAACACAAAGTCCAGATAATGTACACTTACAATGATTTAAAGAACATTTACCATGTCTAAAGAATTATAACAAACGAAACATGTAAAAACCCTACACAGCAAAGATGACAAATGTCACAAACAGAGATGAATTCTTCTTTTACAGAGTAAATTACCTGTGGCATTGAGAAACAGCAATGGATGCACAATCTGTTTTTAAGCCCAGGATGACTGATTTTAGGTGGGCCTGAGGCTTTTCCAAATAATCTCTCATGTATTCTGTAATTTCTCCCGGGTAGCCTGGGGATGAAGTTTTCTCTTCCCTCTGAGCTTCCACTTTTAAGCCCCTGAGAGCTGTTGAGAACTGGCCCAAGCTCTGGAAAACTGGCTCAGCCTCTATTCCTCCCCAATTCTTCTCCGTTCACCTTGGTTCTATGCACTTGTACTGTTCAAAACCCTGTTGCTTCAAAACAGCTTCACTACGGTTCTCAGAGATCTAAGGAATCATAACTTAAAACTTAACAAGGGGTAAGTTAAGAATAGCAAATATAAATTTCAGGAGAGAAATATGTTAGTGTGGCAGAATCATTAAACAGATCCTAACAGAGTTTCAAATGTGCCCGTAAACTGCCTGGGATCGTGTTAATATACAGGTTCTGATCCAGGACATTTGGAGAAAGAAACTAAGATTCGGCACATTTAACAAGCTCTGGGATGATACTGACACTGCCTATCTACATATTGGACTTGCAATAGTAACATTGAAAATTAAATCCTTCTGGCTTGAATCTTGCTTCTACCATCAACTAGTAACAATTATTTGGCTCAGTTACCCAAACTGTCTACATATTAGTTTTATCATCCTGAATGGGTAAAATAGTAACAAAAGTAATAATACCAACAGAAAGATAATCGTAGGAAAACACTACTAAGAGCACTACGTAAACAGCAGATATGTGGGTAAATATTTGGTATTGGCATCGTGAATGACCAGTGTTGAAACTGAGAAAAACAGAAAGCTAAATGTTGATGGCTGGAAGTAGATAACATAGGAAAAGGGAGTGCAAAAATTCCAACTGTACGGCAAGACAAAAGTTTTGTGAACGTTTCTAGTCTCTTTTCAAACATCACCAAGTTGAAAATAGGATTCTTACATGAATGTGACAGTCTGCTAGCTGTTCAGTGAGACAGGCTTCTTTGAAGAATAATAAGACAGTGTTCATTGCAACAACTGGACTCATCATGCTGTTTGTCAAAACTTGGAATAGCATCAGAGCTCCAGGGAGACATAACAGGGATCAGTGGGAAGGTTATTTTCTGAGCTTCAGGTTTCCTTCTGCCAAGTTGAGAGTAGAAGTTTGGCTGTCGCCAATAGTTCTTGGTCTCTCACCTTGTGTGGAGTGGCTTAACTTTTAAAGCTTTCTAGTGGTTCTCTTTTCAGGCTTCCAGGCTTTGTGTCTTTCAAGTAGTACAGTAAGCAAAAGGATGGGAGTGGGGGAACATGAAGTAAAAGGAATGGATAAATAATAAACATCACTATCCGCACAGTGTCTAATAGGGCAACCCAAGAAAATTACTTAAGAATGCAAAAATCTGACCAACAAAGGAAAAGGAAGGTATTTGAGCAGATCGGTACAATAGACAAGGAATAACTGAAGTGCCATTTTTTTTCAGACTTTTAGATATACATTTTGTCCCAGAGGAAAGTTCTCCTAGGCTACACTCTTCTGTTAGCCCTCTTCCCCCTCCCCACCCCCTCCTGGGCAAAAGCTTGCTCTATATGGCTGGGCGCTCTGTCTGCAAAACTTGACAACCTGCTCTGTAATGCAGAACAGCTGTGTTTCTGTCTTTCCCAGATTCTAAGCTTTGCCCTTTCACTGATTCTAATTAGATAGTTTCTGGGCCATCACACCCATATGGGCTGGACTGCAAGAGTGTGGAGCAAAACCTCATGGGCTAGGTCAGGAATGAAGGCTCTTAGCTGATGACATACTCATGATACCTAATGCATTTGTAATCAAATTCAACTCGAGGAGCTTGGCAGGTGCATGCTTGACCACTACAGATTTCATTCACGTAGCAGTTTGGATTTTTTAAAACAATTTCCAGCCCTTACAGCCAATCTGTTCTCTCAGAGAGAGACTCTTGGAATGCTGTCATGAGATGAAAAATATCCAGATAGCTAAAGCCAAGTTCCATGCGTCTGCCTCCCTCACCAGCTCAGCAGAGATGGAAAACAGAAATTTCAAGTGAAAATGATAGAGCCCTTGCTGCTGACAGAGATCCAAGAAACCCACAAGGGTTAGAGGAATGAAGTTATTTTTGCAAGGAATGGTGCAAAAGCTAGAAATAGTGAAGATAAAGAAATAGGCACAAATAAAAAAAATGAACCAAGTATCTTATTACAAACTATGTTTAATGAGTTCAAAGTAATGCATTCTCAATGAATTTCCTGCATTTCCAAGTTCTAATCTCTGATGAGGAAGATAAATAAACAAAACCAAAAAAAGATTAAATACTAATACGTTAGGTTATCTATGCTAACAGTTGCCCGAGCTGATGAAGACAAGTTTTACCCTTAATAATAAGGAGCTGATGAGAAAAAGAGCATAATACTGCATGTGTGGTTAATATATTTTTGTCAGCCTGGTACAGAGAGCGATGGAAACATGACCAGAGCTCAAAAACAAACAGAAATTATATACTGGCAACATACTTCACACTAGCAAATTACAGCACAGATCCTTTGTGCATGACATAATTATTTCTGATATTGGCCACTTGATCAGAGGATTCCATAATGAGAGAAAGAGGGAAACTCCCTAGTAATCTTGAGGGCTTTTTGATAAGAAAAATCAATCCAGAATCAAAGGTTCGGGCCTAAATTCTGGTGCGCCCACTAGAGACAACTCATCTACTCATAGTTTTTGAATCCATCATTTCTGAATTTCTGGAAAACAGAAATTTCAAGTGAAAATGATGGAGCCCTTGCTGCTAACAGAGAGCCAAGAAACCAACAAGGGTTAGAGGAATGAAGTTATTTTTGCAAGGAATGGTGCAAAAACTAGGAATAGCAAAGATAAAGAAATAGGCACAAAATAAAAAACATTAAAAATGGACAGGGAATTTTCCTAGGAAACACCCACGAATAGTTTCCATATTGACGCCGGGTCATTTTCACAGAAGCTTTTCAAAAATTTTATTGATGGGGATTATTTCCAAAGACATAGGTACAATGGAAGGTATATATATATATATATATATATATATATATATATATATATATATATATATATTTTTTTTTTTTTTTTTTTTTTTTTTGGTCCAGTCGTGGGGTCTGAACTCTGGGCCTGGGTGCTGTCCCTCAGCTCTTCAGCTCAAGGCTAGCGCTCTACCACTTGAGCCACAGCGCCACTTCTGGCTTTTTTCATTTTGCTTATGTGGTGCTGAGGAATCGAACTCAGGGCCTCAGGCATGCAAGGCAAGCACTCTACCACTGAGCCACCTTCCCAGCCCCATATATATTTTTTAAATAAAAATTTTCATCCACTTATCAAGTATTTCTTCGAGTTTGGAGTTTGCACTGTTCTCGGCACAGACATACAGTGAGGCATATCAACACTTAATGCCTAGCATCTCAGCTCCTTCAGTTGATCTGCTCTGTATGAAACTTAATATTTTAGTAGCTATTAAACATAAACAATAACAAAATAGTGTCAGAAAATCTGTTTTACAAGTCTTTTGGGGCTTAGGAAAAGTTGTTTGGATGATTCAGTTCTTAGAATAGCATTAAATCAAGAGAGAAAAGTGGAAATGACCAATATTGATGAAATAATACACAGTGACTTTGAGTTCTTATGTAATCCTAATAGCACTTTGTATAAAGTGCCCATATTTTTGTGGTTTTTAGTAGTGCAAATTAATGCTAAAGAATGAGCATCATTGTGAAATTTTAATACATGCGTATAACACACTTTGATTCCCCATTGTCTTTTCCTCTCCCAACTTTTTCTTTTTTGCTAAGGGTCCCTGGAATATAAAGTTTACATATCTTGTTAATGTGGGCCATATACGATACAAAGTGGAAGAGCCTGGATATTTTTTTTGTTTTGGTTTTGGTTTACTTGGAAGAGATACTCTGCATTACAATTAATTAAAGCTAATTCATTGAAACGATTTGTTTTCACAAGTATTTTTCCCATATATGTTGTCTCTTAAAAGAGTAAAAGAAAGTGCCTCTAATAAAAACTACTTTTTAATGATTTCTTAATTTTACACGATTATTACAATCTAACATACAGATTTTTTTTCATTAAAATTGAAAGATGGGATGACAAAAATCAGATAGGCCCAAAGAATCCATTTTGGGGGAGTTGTATCTGTTTTTGTTTTGGTTTGTGTTTTGAACTTGTAAATTAATTATTTAAAAATAGATTTAGCTTTAAAATCTAGTTTTTGATATTCTCTTTCATTTCTCTTTTCTCTGTCCTTCACCTCTGAGTTAATTCCTGTTTCCCATGCTGGAGTTTTAAACAAAAATCCCAGTTGAACAGGAGGGATGAGTTTGTGCCTCTGGTCCACAAGAGAAGTGGTAGGGCTCAAATTCTACAATGATAAAGCCACAGTTTTAGGTGAAGTCTTATTCCTGATTTGACTTGATCTCTGATAAGTTTATCACTCCCTTTCCACCCTGTATCTCACTCTTCCCTTCTCTCCCTCCTTCTCTCCCCTTCTCTCCTCTTCCCCCGGCTCTCTTTGCTGTGCTTTGGATCAAACCCAGTCAAGTGTTCTAAATGTATGTAAAACACTAGTTTCACTCACCTGAAAAGAGACACTGATATTCTAAAGTGTGACATTTCTTTCACAGTTCTTCTAACCATTCTGGCAATATCAAACCAGTTTAGGCTTACAAGAGTAAAGCTGTATGTAGGTAGAGTAAAGCTGTATGGAACTTTCTAAATAAAACCACATGTTTTACTTGGATGTTAGTGGTAGCACTTAGCATTTTCTCAGGGAAGAGATTTAGTCCAGACTTCTTTGTCAAACTCTTGACATCCGTGGAATAACCTTAGGACCCCACCCTCAACCCCTAGTTGATTGCCAGAGGGCATTGTCCACTCTTAGAACACACTGCGTTACCTAGTGGAGGTCTAAACCTATGGAGTAACAGTGACCCCCAGTGGTGAGTAAGGTGCTCTTTTTTTCCAAATGCCAATGTGGGGATTGAATTAATTAAAATACTCACCATCCAGTTCATCCTTTTGGTAATAGGAGGCCAGACTAAAGGTGCAATGATCGAAGGTTTTACAGAACTGTTGAAACAAATGAATTTATAACCATTCTATGTCATGCAGGCTGATAAGCGCAAAAGCAGTTCTGCCTAATGCATATGTCCTCTCGTTTATTTTTTCTAGTCTTTGAAGCCATCAAATCATGCTACCATCCAGAGTATAGTGAGAGCTGTGGGAGTCGTTCCCGGAATTCCTGAGCCTTGCTGTGTTCCTGAAAAGATGTCCTCACTCAGCATCTTATTCTTTGATGAAAATAAGAATGTGGTGCTTAAAGTATATCCTAATATGACAGTAGAGTCTTGTGCTTGCAGATAATGGGGCAAAGAACTCATTTGAATGCTTAATTTGATTATTTCCATGGACTTTTATTTTGCACTGCCAATGCATTTTGTCCCAAAAAGTTTCTTTTTTTTGTAGTCGAAAGAGAATGAACAAATAGATTGAAGATATCCGCTAGGCAGAACTGAACTGTATTTGTGTCTGAATGTAACTAAAAGCAAGATTTTTGAAAATGACAGCTATTGCTTTTCCTTTTAATTACAAAAGAAAAACTTTCATTCAAACTGCTTTAGAACTGCTATAGAACACACTGATTTATTTTTGTAATGGGCTTTAAAAGTAGATCGAAAAACCAGCAGTAGCTAATCATTGATCTCTCATCTACCAAGACAAAAGGGAAATAGAGAGTAATTTCATATTTTAATAGGCTTATTGCCTTAAATTCCTGAGCATCCCAGCCAGTGCTAAATAATCTAATCAATTGTGATGTTTATCTTAAAATTTTTTGAGACTTGCTTGCCCTTGAGTTTTCTCCACAAGTCATTGTAAACCTTAAGTAAATTTATGCTGAGTTTTAAGTAATGTGTGTACATGTGCCAAGTCTCTGTGCCCTCTGTAAGAAGTCAGCTTGATAGATTTCTATAACCCAGGATATTCAAAATACTTAGTGTTTAGCTTTATGTTCTGGAAAGCTGCATTTGGTTATGTAAACCCCGCCAAGAATGATGGAATGACCCAAGAATATATGCAGAGAGTGATCACTTAACCAATTTAATTGGAAATGCTGTTATTTTTATTCCATTGCCTCCAAGAAAGGGAATCAGCAATTCAATGTTGAAAACCCGGATGTAGTTTCTTTTCTCTTTCACAAGAATTTACAATTTTTTTCCTCCTAATTTGAACTCAAGATTTCCTTGTGCAGTACTGGATGGACTACTAGAAATCTCCTTTAAACGATCAGTTTCATTACAATAGTGTATTTATTAATTTCTCAATCACCAAGAAAGAGAATCAAATACAGACTTCAGTCTACTTGCTCCTCCCTCCTCATTTCCAATCGTCATAATTAACGCCCCTTAAAATTCTGTCCTTGAAAAATCTCGCACTCATTATATTTTCCTGACAGGATAGAAGTGATTTCAGGCCATAGATAGTCACTGATGTATCTGTGATTAGTCTGCATTTAAGTTTAGCCTCATCTGGTGATTAGAAATAAGTATAGTGTTTCAGAGCCCCTGTGGTATCAGAAGTCAAAAAGATTGGTTTTATTTCTTACTTGTTTTTATGGGGGTTCAGTCATCTCATAAAGACTCATGTATCATCTATTTTGTAAAAGGCACAATATTAACTATGTATCTTAATGCCTACACCCATAAAATAAAAAGTTGACCATTTGAGTTGGATGGCCCTGTAGGAAATGAAAGGTTGGGTATCTAACATGAGTTTATTATTTGGGACTCTTCCTTGAAGGGAGATAGTGATAGATATGAAAACATTGCAAGGATTTCTACTCATAAACTCAGTGCAGGAGTGGTCCATACCTCAATGTGGAATTTTCTGTGGTCTACATGGTATATTATTGGAAGACATTTAAAAGATGATAGCCATAAAAAACACATTATTTGCAACTTTTGAAGAAGTATAAGTAAGTTGGTGTAGATATGTGTTAACTCCCAGACGAAAAAAAGGATTAAGTTTTTGTGTCTAATTGCTGGATTTCCTCTAGGATATTTTTGTTTTGTAATAAAAAGCTAAAGATTCAAACCAAGATAAGGATGAAATTACTTTGTAATACATTTCCTTACAAAGTTATATAAAAGAAACTGGCTGTATTGGACATCATATACTAGTCATATTGTCTTTCAACAAGAGGATGTTTCTTTGTCTATAGCAGATTCAATGAAATTTTTAACTTAGTTTTCCCTAGAGATGGATTTTTTTCAAACTTATGGCAATTCTTAATTATCAAGTATCCACCTTATATTCAGAAATATCTCTTATATTTCTTAGTTTGAACCAATACCTGCTGGTATAGATTGAATGTTAGAGGGATCAAAAATCTTCTACACAATCAACAAGTTCAAGTACCAACTAATTACAACTTTATCTTAAGACATAGTAAAAGAGCTTAGCTAGACACTTTGATTTCTGGGTAACTTCTAGCCATCATTTCAACCTCTACTGAATTGATCACATATTGTGGGAAATATGGGAATAATTTTCTTCCCAAATAATAAATAAATATTAATTTTCAGTAGTGAAGGTTGAGGTAAATGGATTAATGTTTAAATTAATAAAAATGTATTTGAAATGAAAATGTAAGTGCCTACTTTTCAATTTATTATGTACTAGTGTCCATATTCTTCCTACATAGATTTTTTGGGAAACCTTCCAGTATTAAATTGACATTGATGCAGGAACTACATTTATAAAGGCTTTTTATAAATCAATGCCCTTCCCTTCGCTCAGTCATATTCATAACTATTCCTTAATGTGTACTTACCCATGCGCACACACCTACACACACACACACACACACACACACACACACACAAATCATTGAAGAAAAGAATTTTTTCTAAAATTCCAGTTAAGGTAGTTCCAGTATCTATATGTGTATTTTAAGAATAATTTGTTGTAACTGTGTAAATACTATACAATTGGTAGAATTTGGAGTTATATAACTTACCCTGGAATGTTGGATTCCTCAGATTTCAGGATTCCAGATTAATTTTCACACCCACCTCTTCTATACTATCTGGTGATCACTTAATCATCGTTATTCAATATAATATGTTAGCCTCTTAATCTTTCTGTATAAAAGCTCCAACTTCCCATTTGATATTTTTATAAGCCATTGTTGGGAGTGATACTGTCATCAGGCTGAGTTACACAAGTTTTCATCTAATTACACTAATTGGTTGTTCATGCCATAGTCACTTTTCTCTGCTAACAAATAACTATTACCTGGTGTATAGTTCTTGTAACATTTACTACTTATTGAAGCAAGGCTGGTTGAGAGAAGAACTATGCTTGCTGATGTGTAATATTAAAGAGGTGATTAAGAAATTGTGGATTAAATCTGACTTCTCTGCATAGCTTTTCTTCCTCAGAGAATTGTATTTGCTTGTAGTTTGTAGGTGATAAAAATGATCCTGCCTTTCTAAAAGCAAACCCTTCCCTTCATCTTGTCATACTTATTTCTGTAAATGTTTTAGTTGAGAATTTAATGCTTGTACAGTCAATGGCAATTAAAAAATTTATATATATTATATGTATATGGAAAAACGTTAAAGATGCTTTTAATTTATTTAATGACTGTTGCTTTTCTATATTGGTAATAATTTTCATTTTTAGAAGGTGAGAAAACTACTTTTTCATTCTAGTTCCTAGAAGAAACACTAAATTTGGTTCTTTAGTCAAATCCACTTAAAGAGTGTATCATAGTGAAGCTTCACTACTGATGGATTGAGCTTTGCTGATTTTGTATCATTTTCCTCCAATAATGAAGTGCTTTTCATTATATATTATGAGAATAAAAGATGCTTAATTGAACATTTTCTTGCATTCTTTTCTATTTATTATGAAACACTATTTTCTAAATTGTTTCCAAATATGATGCATTTGAAAAGAGAGAAATAAGCTGTGGTACAGAGTTGAACATTTCAAAATGGTATCATGAAAGGAGCATCATAGTGTATTATCCACATAACATGATTAACATTATGAATACTCCTAAAATATACTCATAAGAGTGCTTTCTGAAATAGGGAAATGTAATTTGAATCATTACATATGAGAAGCTCTGCATCAAGCTCATGCTGCTTCTAATGCTAGCTACCCGGGAAGCTGAGAACTGAGGATCCTGGTTTGTAGCTAGCCCATGCAGAAAAGTATGAGAGACTTATCACCAATCAACCAATTAAAAGGCAGATGTAATGGTGGTTCTAACCTTGAACAAAAAAGATTGAGGGACAGTGCCAGGCTCTGAGTTCAAGCCCCAACAAGTACTGGTACCAAAAAACATCCAAAAAATAAAAGGAAAGAAAGAAAGAAAGGGAGAGAGACAGACAGAGGGGTGGAGGGAGGAAGGGAGGGAGGAAGGAAGAAAAGAAGGAAGGAAGGCAGGAAGGAAGGAGAAAGAGGGAAAGTAAAAGAGAGAAAGAGAAAGATAGGAAAAAGAAAGAATGAAAAGGAAAATAAGAATTAGAAAAGCTCTACATCTTATTCCTGGAGATTTGGATTTAAAAAAAAAAAAATGTCCTGACTATCTGTCTCACTATTAGTTCAATAGTGACTTTATTTTGACAGTCATTATTGTTAATGCCAATTTTACAATGATAAGGATTTAAATTTAATTAATCTTATAATTGGGTTGTGGTTTAGATTTTTCCTTAAAGATAAATTAATGCCTTGAGGAAAAGAAATAAAATAGGCCAGACAGGTACTGGTGGCTCATTCCTGTAATCCTAGCTCTCCTGGAGGCTGAAATCTAAGAGTCATGATTCAAACCCAACATGGGCAGGAAATTCCTTTAGAGTCTCCTCCCAAATAACTACTAAAATGGCAGAAGTAGAGATGTAGTTCAAGTGGTAGAACACCCTCCTTGAGTAGAAAAAGCTAAGGAACAGTACACAGGTTCCTGAGTTCAAGCCCCAAAACTGACAAATTAATTAAGTAAGTAAATAAATAAAATATGCCTTCCAATTTCATTTTCTAAATCTGTTAAATTATGATTTTGAGTAACACCATTTTGAGCACTTTAATGTTTGGTTTGAGTTATATCTGTTTTTCTAGTTGCATTTAGTACAATACTGGATTCTAGGCTTGTACACATTGCTAAATTTTCCTTCCTGACATTTTCATTTTTACCTAAGTGAGCTTCAAAATCCTTTCTTATTCTGATATACTAGATTCAATGATCCAAATATCCATATTAAGTCAATACTTGGAAACATTGTTGTTTTGATAATGTCATAAAGGCAAAATAAATAACAGAAGTCATGACGAAAAGGAATGTGAGAATCTAAGAGTGCACCAGTGGCTCATGCCTGTAATCCTGGCTACTCAGGAGGCTGAGATCTGAGGATCACAGTTCAAAGCCAGCCCACGCAGGAAAGTCTGTGAGACTCTCATGTCCATTAAACACCAGAAAACTGGAAGTGGTACTATGGCTCAAGTGGTAGAGTACTTGCATTGAGCTGAAGAGCTCAGGAACAGCACCTAGGCCCAGAGTTCAATCCCCACAACCGACAAAAAAAAAAAAAAAAAAAAGAGTGAATAGATGTCTCTTCCCAAAGATCAAATCATAAAATGTGTCTTCTATCATACAAAGTTGGTAATAAGACTTTTCTACCTTCATATCTGTATTTAATTTAAAGTTTCTAAACTCTCATTTTAATAGTAATAACTAGTTAAAACAACAACAACAACAAAAAGAAAAATTAATCAGAGGTTGGGGGAATGACACAAGCAAAGATTACCTGTCTATCAAGAGAAAGGCTTTGAATTCAAATCTCAATATCACACACACACACACACACACACACACACACACACATAGATTTTATCCATTATTATTTAGAAAGTAAGTACATTATGGTAGTTAGAAGCTCAGGCTTGGAATCAAGCAATTTGCATTAGAATCATAACTTGGTTATTTCATATCTCTGTGACTTTAAGCAAGTTTTTAAGCCTCTCTCTGGTTTCCTGGCCTAAAAGGAAAACAAAGCACCTATTTTGCATTATTGTATAAAATACACAGTATTCCTAGCATAAAATAAATGTTCTATAAAATTAGCTTTTGGATTCATTAACTGTACTTCCTACAGTTCTAAGAATGAGCCTACCTGACTCTGAAATGTGGTGGGCATGATTCTCATGTTACCTGTCAAGGCCAATAATCGGCTTTCCTTAGGTTAGAGCCATGTGAAAGGAGTCTATGCAGCTGTACCCATGCTCTAATAGTCCCGTTCTTTTCCACTTTTCCACGTATGCTTGTACTTCAAGAAAGTCAGTAATTATCCTATGATCGCTCAGAGTTCTAGTATATTTGAAGGAAACAAAACAAACATATAAGGAGCAAAAGGTAAATTTGGGTAATGGCAATGTTTGGCTATTGTTTGAGGCACTTTCCAGATGCATTGAACTTCTCTGCTCAATTTCAGAAAAGCTCCAAGGGGTAGAGAGACATCTTCGAAGATGGAAAAAAAATATATTCTAAGGAGAAAAACTGTGAAAAGGGCAAGAAAGACGAAGCTATATGCTCTTAGTTCCTATTTATTAACATCATCATTCATGCAAAAAGAAAGACAGCAGATAATGACAGACAATGTTGCTCTAACACTGCTTTCTCTGAACAAGTACACGGGGATTTCTATTTGTGTCTGGGGCAGCTGGAAGTAGGATGTTATTAAGAGCCTCCCATCATCCACTGCAATCATGTGCATATGGTTTGGGTGTATTTCAAAGGTTCATGCATTAGAAGCTTGCTCCTCAGTGTGGCAATGTTGGGAAACCTTGAAGAAGTGGATTCTACCTTGTGCAAGGTGATATTGCCTGAGGAAGGGATTAATATCAGCTTTCTAGAACCCAGTCTTGTGAACAAGACTGGAACTTCTTGTTCTCGCTCTTCCTGTCTCATCCATCTCTCTTTTCCCTGTGTTCCTGCTGGGAATACCTCGCCAGACCCAGCACCATGCTGTTTTGGACCTTTAATTCTGCAATGGTTACATAAACCTTTTTTTCTTTATTCATTACCTAGTCTCAGGTAGAGACTTTGATGTTCTAATGGAAATGGACAGATTACTCTCCCTACAATACTGCCATATAGGGGGAAAAATGTGTCCTTCACTGGGGACAATTGAGTTTTATTTAGTCCTCATCTTTTTCTAGAACAGTGAAAAATCGCCCCGAGGGCAATAAGTAATTTAGTTCTAGAAAAAATTAAGTTGTAGGGCTGGGAAGGTGGCTCAGTGGTAGAGTGCTTGCCTTGCATGCATGAGGCCCTGGGTTCTATTCCTCAGCACCACATAAGCAAAAAGAAAAAAGTCAGAAGTGGTGCTGTGGCTCAAGTGGTAGAGCGCTAGCCTTGAGCTGAAGAGCTGAGGGACAGCACCCAGGACCAGTGTTCAGGCCTCCCCCCCCCAAAAAAAAATTAAGTTGTAGAGTAGCAGGTGTTTCTTCTCCCTTACATTCCCTTACTTGCCCCCTTCCCCCACACTTGAAGATGAGGAATAGGAGAGGGAGAAAAGAAGAACAGAGACTTACCTGAACTGAACATCACTGATGCTGGGATAAGGGTATGATTGTGATCTCATAAAAATATCAGCCAAACTACTGATCAGAGTCTGCACACAAGTAAGTTGTCATCAAGTTACAGTCAAAATTGGAATCTACCTTAGGAAGCTCAGGCCAGATGTGAACGCAGCGGTCTAAAGAAAGAATCATGCAAAAGATTTTCCCCACAATGGACTTGGATAAGAGAAAGTTTGGCGCTTGTAGGACATCAGCTTTGCTTTCTAGTGTTATTCCATCATGATAAACACTGACATACATACACATGAACCGAGCATGGATTTTAAAAATGATTATAGAGTTTATAATTTCATTAAATCATCTTAAAAAAATAAATGGCAGCAATTAATGACATCATAACCAAATGTTGGCAGTTGAAACAGTCCTGAATGTTGTGTAGAAGCTGGAGCCTGGTATCAGCAAGGTGAATTGGAAGACTTAGCAGTGTTTGTAAACTCTGGATGCAGAGGTAGATGGCACATCTGTCCAGAGAGTGTGCATCCAGATGGAACCAGACCATTTGGAGCTGTGTTTCAGCTCTCCTTGATTTGAAGCATATCATTTAACACTTCTATGAGCTGACAACTTATTACAGAAAGAGGCTCTAAGAGGACGAGCTAGGATGAAGAGCACTTTGAAATTATTTCTAAGATCATTACTAGTTTCTTGTTCCTCTTGTGGGGTGTTAGAGTGATCATCTAAAATTTTATACACTCCAATGAACTCTGGCTGAAGACACAGAGTGTTGAGATATGGAGTCCATCTTTAGACAGGATTTTTCTGTCTTGTTTCTGTCTTATTTTGAATTCTGCTCAGCACATAAGAAAATTGTTTCAGCAGGGTGCAAGTGGCTCATGCCTGTAATGCTAGCTACTCAGGAGGCTGAGATCTGAGGCGCGCGGTTCAAAGCCAGCCTGGGCAGGAAAGTCCATGACTCTTATCTCCAATAAACCACCAGAAAACTGGAAGTGGAGCTGTGGCTCAAGTGATAGAGCACTAGCCTAGGGACAGTGCTTAGGCTCAGAGTTCAAGTCCCATGACTGACAAAAATAAAAAAGTTTCATACCTTGAGAACAAAGGAGAAACCTCATAAGAACATACACTGATTTAGAGTCAGATGTAATATTTTCTCTAAATAAGAAATCTTAAAATATACCTTGGACTTAGTTATCATTCGTTCTCTTTCAAACTTCTGGAAGAAAAATTGAATTTGAGAGAAGACTTTTTAGCCTCTGGTGTGGTGGTTAGGGACATAGAGA